CAACGCTAGGTTGATGGCAAGGCAGTACGGTACAAAGCTAGGTTCGTGGGAAGGCAGTACGATACAAAGCTAGGTTAATGGAAAAACAGTACGATACAAAGCTAGGTTGATGACAAGGCAGTACGGTACAAAGCTAGGTTCATGGAAAGGCAGTACGGTACAAAGCTAGGTTGATGACAAGGCAGTACGGTACAAAGCTAGGTTGATGGCAAGGCAGTATGGTATAAAGCTAGGTTGATGACAAGGCAGTACGGTACAAAGCTAGGTTCATATAAAGGCAGTACGGTACAAAGCTAGGCTGATGGCAAGGCAGTACGGTACAAAGCTAGGTTCATGGAAAGGAAGTACGGTACAAAGCTAGGTTCATGGAAAGGCAGTACGATACAAAGCTAGGCTGATGGCAAGGCAGTGCGGTACAAAGCTAGGTTTCATGGAAAGGCAGTACGGTACAAAGCTAGGCTGATGGCAAGGCAGTATGGTATAAAGCTGGGTTGATGACAAGGCAGTACGGTACAAAGCTAGGTTCATGGCAAGTGTGGTTTTGAATGAACCTCTATTGTATCATAAGGCAAACCTCATACAGAAGACCCAACGTATGACGTAACTATATAACTGAAACTTTCAAATATTTGGAATATATATTCATTTTGGTGGTTGTTTTATCTGTTTTTGGAGTCTTTGAATGAAGCGATCTGAAAACAATTGGCTGACAAATTTACTAGTGCTTTATAAATGTAACCGCCATACATGCATATACAGTATCTGACACACGTAATACCCAGTTGTAAAACTCTAAAAAACCATAAGTTGAACACGCTTATGTTAAAATTCTATATAATATACATTGAAGTGACCCTTCTTATATTGCCGTCTTTATTTAATCCCAACTGAAGGAATTGCTTAACGCCTGACAATGCGATCTTATGCCGTAACAAGCTTACCTGGGCATCAAAGCAAGCCGACATGTCGCTGACCTAGCACGTCTCTTTGTTTTCAACAGGTAAGTTTTACATATCGGAAGTGTTCCGAGTGGACAGCGGAAGCCAGCAGGTGAGGGCAGGCCGACTGTAGTACAAGTCAGACAAGCACCGCTCATCTTGTGAGTCATTCAACATCGTCAGCCACCAGCACCCAGGGAACACGTGGGATGAATAGCAGCGGGATCAAACACAATACTCCCCACACTACTTCACAACATGTAGCTGACATAACTAACCTTTTTCTAAACAATTCTTTATAAAATTCTTTAAAAAAATCTTAATAAATAGGAAAATAATATTTTAGTTTTAATGATCGCTTCTCTGAAGGAGGCCTTTGTGACCTCTAGATTCAGTTAACCATTGTCATTAGAAGACTTCCAATGAAGCAGTCGTCATACAAGGTGTTAGGGATGGTTTTGTCAGCCAGAAAGGTCTGTGTGACGTGCCATGGGTAGATCTTGTATTGTCACCTTATAAGGTCTGGGTAGACAGTGGGATAAGTCGTGAGTGGATCTTGTATTGTCACCTTATAGGGTCTGGGTAGACTGTGGAATACGTTGTAGGTGGATCTTGTATTGTCACCTTATAGGGTCTGGGTAGACTGTGGGATAAGCCGTGGGTAGATCTCCTTGATATGTCAACTTATAGGGTTTGGGTAGACTGTGGGATAAGCCGTGGGTAGATCTCCTTGTATGGTCAACCAGCAAACACTGGGAGTCAGTGTGACGTGCTATTGCAGTTGGGTCTTGGTAGCACATTGGGTTTATCTACCGACTCCCACACAAGGTACAGTTAGATGCCCGGTCTCAACGATGGTCAGTCCGGCAGTGACCGGCAGTGACCAGCAGTGACCGGTAGTGACCGGCAGTGACCAGCAGTGACCAGCAGTGACCGGCAGTGACCAGCAGTGACCAGCAGTGACCGGCAATGGCCGGCAGTGACCGGCAGTGGCCGGCAGTGACCGGCAGTGACCAGCAGTGACCAGTAGTGACCGGCAGTGCACGGGTGGTGAACTAGCCGGACAATGAACATCTAAATCGCTACTTCGGCAACGATTACAAATAGTTCTAATAGTTCGTAACTACTGTGGAAAATAATGCGAGCTATACATATTTGGGATCAAAACTAGATATAATCATTTATTTGTGCACATTATCAAAAATATATTCGAGAGACGGCAGTGGGAGGTATTTGGTAGTCAGTGGGCTGCAAAATATTTACTCGCGAAGTTCAAGTGAACTTGAAAGACTCTTTTATGTCTGTGAATCCCTGCAGTAGCTACAGTCTTCAATGGGGACAATCCCGGGCCGTCACCGTTAGATGTGAGTGAGTGAGGTGAGTTTTACGCCAATTTTAGCAATAGTCCAGCGATATGACGGGGGACAACAAAATAGGTTTCATTCATTTTACCCATGTGGGGAATTGAACCCCGGATTTCGTCATGACGTGCGAACACTTTAACCACTAGGCTACCCATTCGCTACCCCACCTTTAAAACATGGAGATCGTAAATGGATAAACACGTATTTAACGAATACACTTTCGTGTATTACATTACCCTTGTAACATTTCTTAAAGACATGCCAAAAAGTATGTTCGACGCAATTCCATATTTTAACTTGTACTATATGTTCCCGTGTTTTTTCAGGTAATCAATTGCCTTGTCTGTGCATGTGTTTGTGAGGGCCGAGGATACGCTCAACTTTTCGTGAACATTTGGCATCATCACTATTTGATAGATATTCATAAACACATGCTCATGATAAAGTCGGAATCGTACAATGGAATCTGCTTTTAGCAGACATGTGTTATGAATATGGAAAGAGTTTTGTCGCTTTATTAACCATGAAGTTAAACATGACACGCTCGGGGACATTTGTCACAAGCCGGGGTCGAGATCCTACAACACATCATCAATGACACTTCATTCACAAGGGTTATATATTTTGGTTGTTAGTGTACCTGCATCCTGATCGTTAATTGACTGATTACATGATCTCCCCAGCCTCAGTACCTGGAGCAATCCATGTCTAACGTAATGTAACCCCCGCTATGTCGTGTGTAATGTGGGCGGCTCCTACACATGCCTAGAAGGATCATCTGCAGGTAGATCTCCCTACGCCAGCCACGCAACCAGCTGGTCACAGGATAACCATACGTAAAATATGTCCCGCACATACTTGTCCTGATTGGCTCCTGTGATGCAGTGTTTGGGCGGCTCCAGTGTGTACGAAAGGTCATGATTCGAACCCCCAGTCCCAAAATCTATGAGGGAGAAGGGGGGGGGGGGGGGGGGGGGGGGGGGAGTAGTGTTGTGTACGGCAGGGGGTGTAACATGCTAACTTATCAACGGTATTTCAGAAACGCATCATTTGCATGTAGACAGTAGAATAAACGAAAACATGGTGACACCATAACTATTTCTATAATTCTCAGTCCCCCCTTCTGGGACCGGTGGTCTGTACGGCACGGGGTGGGGGTGAACATGGAGGGAGGGGGTCACATACTAACTAATCAATACGGTAGTTCATATACCCGTCATTTGCAAGTAGACAGTGGAATAAGCCAAAAAATGGCGACAATATAACCAATTCTATAAAAATGTGTTTAACAGACAATCTTGTGTGCTCACCTGCCCAGGCTCGCCAGGCGCTGGTCCTCCCGCCACTGTTGCAGTTACCAGAGAAACTGTATTCAGTTGTATAACAAGTGTTGGATCTACGTCACCTTGGATGGTATCTGTCATCGCCATGTATCAACCTTATAGAGCAAGAAAGGCTGATGCAGGTCCTAAATGTGTTCACTTTGGTGAGCCGCTGAGTAACCGGCATGGAACGGACAAACCAAATGTCAGCATCAAGGCGAAGCTGGATGCCAACCCGTCCTGACAGTATACAGACACACCTCAGGGCAGAAGGAGAAGTTTGTTCTCGTGAATCACAAATACAGAGAAGACACAGCTCTTCCATGGAGCTGATCAATATAAATTGTCAATGCAAGAGGATAACCTGTCCAGATTATTCGCCGAAACAGATTCCATCTGCTGTAAAGGGCAAAACAGCTGTGAAAATATAGATTGACCACTGACAATCAGTGAGGACACCAGGTGTTCGCAAAAAGGGTAAGCATGCCCTGCCCTACTGGTAGCTCCCGTCATTCACATAATTTGCATAAATTGTAAGTATTTATTGTCTGACGCCACAGCAGCACTGGGCAGTATGACGCTGCCGCATGTCATGTACAAAACACATGATTAAATAGTATAGTACTATTCCAATACATGCCCAAGGGCTAGAGGTTGCGTGTCAGCATGGACATGGCTGGGATGAAGAACGACACACACGTACATTCGACCTGCTGGTGATGGTCACACATCGTCCTGATCTACAGCTCCCAGCACCAGTAACGTACGGGGTCAGGCAAACGTGTAGACAGTCAGACATCGTAAAACAAAGGTTTGAGATGCGATCATCGCTTTTCAAAGAAGGCCGTGAACCTTTTTGAATTATTGTTATTGCGTGTAAGTATACCCTGCCACGACAAGGACAAGGGGCGCGATCTGTCTTCCCTCCATCTGATGTGCGGACAGTATGTAGGAACAGTACTGACAGCATTTACAAATGAAGATATATCTGAATACTCTTCATAACAAATCCAAGTAGAAACATCTTCGCCGTCACACCCAACAGACAGGACTTGTGGAGGGACGACAACTTGTTTATCAGAGGTTATATGGTTTAATCATTAAACAGTAAATGGAAAACTAGATATGATCTCAAATGAATGACATTGTAATTTGTACAATGTTTCATTTCACACTCCCGTTTGGAGTCTTTCTTCATCACAAAATATAAACGATCAAATTAATTTCTAGATGAACCTAGTACCCATTGGCAGGCAGACACAACCACACGTACCCGCATATACATAGTTCGTTGACATACAATGCCATAGGCATTTACTAATAGAAAGGCGAGCTCTCGCTGAAAGAACATATACAAATATCAAACGACTTCCTACCTTTCACATAGGACGTTGCAGCCCCTTTCAACAGAAGAAACGCTATACATAATTGCCGAAAATCCATCCTTACTGTCCCACACACGAATCCTTCCCGACACTGCTGTTACAACACCTTGCCTCAGTGGAGGTTTTAGTTTTATAAACGTACAAGTCACATGACCAGGTCACATGACTTGATTGATCCGGCAAAGCTTAAGCACGCAAAGATGTGTATTCTGGTGTCTGAAAGTGTAAATAACAAGTCACCCAATGGCCGTCGCCAGATGCCGTTGTTATATACGCACCTTTCTCACATTGTATATTCCGTAAACCTGGGACTTGAAGAAAGCTTTTATTGTTCATCTTTGAGGTTAACGTCAGTGCTTTTTAGTTTCTTATTATCTTCAGCACAGGTGGATTTTGAATGAAATGATAACAAAAGTATAATAGACCTTTCCCATCTGAAACAAGCCATCAATTAAACAAAAGCCAGCATCCATTTAACAAAGGTCATTATCTTATTTAATGTAACGCTGTGTTTATTGAAAGGTCATGGCTTCGCTTAGCCTCGTGTATGTCATGTACGGCGTCCTACAGCTAGTATTACAAGTACTCACGTAGGACAATGTACAGTATCATAACGCTTTTCAAATAAACACGACATACAATGAATACATGACACGAGGTACACTGGTTTTGTTTGACTGAGACTAAATAATTATTTGAATACATCAAACACTTGCCAAACACTTGTACTCGACCAGTATGCAGAGATACAGATGACAGATGGGTGATCTACTGCCGTGTCCATGTTTTGTAACCACGACATCCAACTGAAATAATTAACATCTTCATGTAATTGCATCTTGTTTCCATTGCAACATGTGGTATTACTGAAGTGTTTGATCGAAGCATGTCAGTTAATTGCGATGTTTGATCAGCGCCACACTATTTTTTAAAACTCAACATGCAGAGCTAAATTGAAAAAAACAACCCAGCAAAGAATGTTTTTTCAAACCCAAAGCTCTCAGCAGTGTTTTATTACTCTGAATGCAGGTCTGGATCAGAATTCACTAATGAATGGCGCCTCTGCAGTGACAGCAAATGCAGATAAATCACATCAGTTACATCAGAGTTACTGGACCAAACGTACAAGAAATGAAACCAACCGTAATATATACTATCCACATTACCCAGCTGTTCCACTACTATCCACATTACCCAGCTGTTCCACTGCTATCCACATTACCCAGCTGTTCCACTACTATCCACATTACCATGCTGTTCCACTGCTATCCACATTACCCAGCTGTTCCATTGCTATCCACATTACCCAGCTGTTCCATTGCTATCAACATTAACCGACTGTTCCACTGCTATCCACATTACCCAGCTGTTCCACTACTATCCACATTACCCAGCTGTTCCACTGCTATCCACATTACCCAGCTGTTCCACTACTATCCACATTACCCAGCTGTTCCATTGCTATCAACATTAACCGACTATTCCACTGCTATCCACATTACCCAGCTGTTCCACTACTATCCACATTACCCAGCTGTTCCACTGCTATCCACATTACCCAGCTGTTCCACTGCTATCCACATTACCCAGCTGTTCCACTGCTATCCACATTACCCAGCTGTTCCATTGCTATCCACATTGACCGACCGTTGCGGACACGGATACGTACCTAGAATATGTAGAGGGTGTCATGGAAAATGATATATACAATATTCTTTGAATAGTGCCGTATACAGCCTCAGACATTTCCAGGCCAACTAACCTGATCTTGTCCTTTTTGACAAATCCAATGAAATCATTTATATCATTGAATTTTTTCTGTCCCCTTTTACACTAATGTGATTGACAAGATTCAGGAAAAACATGGCAAATATGCGGACCTTGCTTTCGAAATGTCACGCTTGCATCCCAAGTACCAAGTTATCCGACTCCCCATTGTTCTCGGTGCCTTAGGTTTGGTACCTCCCAATCTGTTGACTGACATTGGGAGAGTACCCGGGTTTGCTACCAGGAATACAGCCCTTCTGACTATCTGGCTAATGCAGAAGGCTGCAGTGTTGGGGAATCTTCACATTCTCCGAAAAGTTCTGGGTGGGTTTGATTAGGCTGCGCTTCATGGGATAAGTCCGATTCGCTGTCTGGGCTGCGTGTAGAGGGGGCAAGGGCCCTGAGCTGATGATGAGCCTAACCAGCCTGACTGTGCCAGGATCACCCAAACCCTCTTTGCTGCATTTTTTATTTTAATCTGTAAATAATAATTATGATATTAAAAATGATAATGAAAGCGACGAAAGCTCTTTCCACAGGGGTTAGAATGTTTAATAGTATTAGTAATACCACTCAGTCAATAAGCTTCAGGTTTTTGAAAACTGTAGTCATGTTCCATTTGAAGACGAATTTATCCTATGCACCGTTTAATACATATTATTTTTCAAAGCCTTACAGCAAACAGTCTTTATATAGTTAGAACATCAAATTTGTGAAACGAAGGCTTGAAATAAACAGATTTATGCCTTGAATCGTAAAATCGTGAACCATTTGTTTATTGAGTTTTAATCAGATGATGTCACTTGGAATGTAGACGGAAACACGGACATTGACAGCCCTAATCAGCACTGATGAACCACAGTAGGACAGCCCTAATCAGCACTGATGAACGACAATAGGAAAGCCCTAATCAGCACTGATGAAGGACAATAGGACAGCCCTAATCAGCACTGATGCACGACAATAGGACAGCCCTAATCAGCACTGATGCACGACAATAGGACAGCCCTAATCAACACTGATGAACGACAATAGGACAGCCCTAATCAGCACTGATGAACCACAATAGGACAGCCCTAATCAGCACTGATGAACCACAATAGGACAGCCCTAATCAGCACTAATGAACGACAATGGGACAGCCCTAATCAGCACTGATGAACGACAATAGGACAGCCCTAATCGGCACTGATGAACCACAATAGGACAGTCCTTCTCAGCACTGATGAATCACAATAGGACAGCCCTAATCAGCACTGATGAACCACAATAGGACAGCCCTAATCAGCACAGATGAACCACAATAGGACAGCCCTAATCAGCACTGATGAACCACAATAGGACAGCCCTAATCAGCACTGATGAACGACAATAGGACAGCCCTAATCAGCACAGATGAACCACAATAGGACAGCCCTAATCAGCACTGATGAACCACAATAGGACAGCCCTAATCAGCACTGATGAACCACAATAGGACAGCCCTAATCAGCACAGATGAACCACAATAGGACAGCCCTAATCAGCACAGATGAACCACAATAGGACAGCCCTAATCAGCACTGATGAACCACAATAGGACAGCCCTAATCAGCACTGATGAACCACAATAGGACAGTCCTAATCAGCACTGATGAACCACAATAGGACAGCCCTAATCAGCACAGATGAACCACAATAGGACAGCCCTAATCAGCACTGATGAACCACAATAGGACAGCCCTACTCAGCACTGATGAACCACAATAGGACAGTCCTGGACTTGATACTTAGATTCACACATTCATATAAGGTCATATATTGGACTAAATGTCTGCTGACTAAAGAATACTGCGCGATACCAAATCCCATTAACTGTCCCAGGTTTCACCGCAAACTTTGTTCACTGGAAAACCTGTCATGTGACTTGGCCCAGACATTGCTTGTCTCCACTTAAGTAAAGAAACATCAAACTTGAGGTTCCTGCAATCAGAGTGTGGGACAGCGTATATTGTTGTGGAACTAAAAGCGAACAAAACCCTTTCCATATTCACACCACATGTATGTACGATGCCGACGATGTCATGGTCACGTGTTTATGCATCACTGACAAATAGTAATGATACCAGGTACAGATGTTATCGAAAAGGTGGCACCCGTCATAATGCAAAGGCAAGTTAATTGTTCACCTGAACAAAAAAATAACAGTGGTGGATGGCGGTATTCTGCTTACAGATCTTACACGTCTAACAAAAAGACAACAAGGCTACTGGGTATATTACAGCGACAAAACCATCTACATACAAATCGATTGTACGATTTCGACTTAATCATAAGCGTATGTTTATTAACCACTATCAAATAGTGATGATACCAGGGTAAGCGTATTCTGCTCTATAAATGGAATCGGTCACGAAAACATGCAAAGGCAAGTCAATTGATCACCTGAACAAACACAGATACATAAGGTACAAGTCAATATAAGGAATTGCATCGGACTTCATGTTTGTCACCAATGCGTTAAATTTCGAAAAGTCAAAATGGGAGAAAATGGAAAATGGAAACAATGGGAGAACATACGACAAAGTGAACACCACCAGCTGATTCCCACAATGTAACATACGACATACTGAACACCACCAGCTGAATCCCCGGGATGGGGCCACAATGTAACACACGACATACTGAACACCACCAGCTGATTCCCATGGAGGAGGCCACAATGTAACATACGACATACTGAACACCACCAGCTGATTCCCGGGATGTAACATACGACATACTGAACACCACCAGCTGATTCCCCGGGATGTAACATACGACATACTGAACACCACCAGCTGATTCCCACAATGTAACATACGACATACTGAACACCACCAGCTGATTCCCCGGGATGGGGCCACAATGTAACATACGACATAGTGAACACCACCAGCTGATTCCCACAATGTAACATACGACATAGTGAACACCACCAGCTGATTCCCCGGGGTGTAACATACGACATACTGAACACCACCAGATGATTCCCCGGGATGTAACATACGACATACTGAACACCACCAGCTGATTCCCCGGGATGTAACATACGACATACTGAACACCACCAGCTGATTCCCCGGGATGTAACATACGACATACTGAACACCACCAGCTTATTCCCCGGGATGTAACATACGACATAGTGAACACCACCTGCTGATTCCCCGAGATGTAACATACGACATACTGAACACCACCAGCTGATTCCCACAATGTAACATACGACATACTGAACACCACCAGCTGATTCCCTGGGATGGGGCCACAATGTAACATACGACATAGTGAACACCACCAGCTGATTC